CAGACTTCGCCGCTTCAGGAACAGGCTTCGCCTTCGCAACAAAAACGAATGGTATTGCACATTATTTGAAAAGATAACGCCTTGTTTCCATTTAGTTACCTTCGTTAAAAACGGGGTTTCATTGTTCTGGCAACCGATAATCGACAAGGACAACAAAATAAGCACCCTTAAAGAAAGGCTGGAATGTAGCGCCCATGTCTTGAACACATACGGAAGACCCTAAAACACGAAACCAATCACAATTCCAAAACATTAAAAAAGCGACGAAAAGGACATAGCTGAGCAAGGTTTGGAGTAGCCCTTATATTTAGTGCTCACGTGTCTGGACAATGCAGATCCGAATGACCCGCAAAAATCGTGCAATACCGCGACTATAATAATCACTTTTCTTGTTACGTGGAAAACGAACGAAATAGTTTCGAAGCAGATTAATGATACGGTTATGGTTAGGCTAACGGGTGGGCATAACGAGATGTATAAAGTAACGAGCCACCGACAACGAACAAAACACATGCAAAATAGGTCGACACCGGTAGAAACGAGTAACTTACTTCAGAAGGGCCGGTAGTTTGCTGAATAGCACAGTCTGAACAACTCGCACTGGTAGCACCGTTTGAAAGAGTTTTATCTGCCTGGTGATCATCCAATGCCGAATGCAAGGAGGAAATTGTGGTTGCACTGTTGTCATATTGTGGGACGGAATTATCTTGATCTAACGCATGATGTCCAGTAGAAAGCGCTGCACAAGCTTTAGTTGGCAGTGTGGCATCCATTTCGGACCTTGGAGAATCCAAATCACTAAAAGCGTCTTCTAGACATTTTAGTTCCGCTTCGTCAAACTCTATTTGGCGTGTTTCAGCCTCGGTCTCTTCAAACGATACTCCAGGAACAGGGTTTGTGGTATTTGTACGAGGAGTGAGGGCGTACGTACCTCCCTGGAGTGGACGAACCGCACCTGAAAATGGAAGAATTTCGTTAAGTTCCTGCGAAACAATTCTGAANCGACGAACTCGACGTAAAATCCACTCAAAGCATTTTATGAGTAAGTGGTTAGCACACTTCGTTTGTGATATGAATTTCATGAGCTTAGCTCTCATATACTCCAGTAACCGATCGAATGGACGAAATTAAGCAGGAATCGCGAAATACGGCATACCTGACGAACACCGTTGTTGACTTCAAAAAACTGCTATGCTCGCCGTAGACAATTACGCTACCATGAGTATGCGAATACAGTGGCCTCAATATGTTCACATATTTCTGGGGCATCTCTTTCCGAAGCGAACCTATTAAAGCTTCGCGGTCAACTAAGTCGAAGGAGCCCTTTTAGGTTAAGGAATACTACGATCATTGGTCAACAAAGTGCATGACGTTGTTCGAGGATTTGACGCAACACGGAACAACCGCGACCTGGTCGGAATACTGTTTGCCGTTCACGAGCATTTGCTTCCCTGAATGGCGTCAGACATCGAAGTATGATGGAGGTGACGACTGGGATCAAACTAGTCCCGCGGTGGTTTGCGCAATCATCGCGAGATCCTTTCTTGAATATGAGGACGATCAATGCTTCGCTCCAAGGTGATAGGATGCACTCTTGCGACAAGATGTTACGCAATAAATCAGTGGTGGAATCTACGAGGTCATCACAACCACACACACACAATATTGAAATGAGTGGAAGGAACCCTGTCGGATCCTGTGGCTATTCCTTTCTTTACAGCTTGAATGCAAGATCATAGCTCTGCTTCAGTGGGAGGTGCACATACCGCTACCAATAGGGCTTCAGCTTGAACAGAGATAATTTGGTCAGCGCCAAGCCAACTGAATTGTTCGCTGAAATACTCCGCCCAGTGATTAAGCATTTATTCCCTATTGTGAATAGCTTGTCCACATTGCTTCACTCATTGGGGTTCGCCGACCTGGGCTGTTACGTATTGGCCGGAACAGTCATTGACTATTCCCCGATGCAGCGGTAACTCCCGTTTTACTGGCAATTTTCGCCCACCGGTTTCCCCGACCTTTCTTGAGACTCTTCGCAGACACCAACTACCCCTATTTTGATGTTAGCCCGTCGGGATTTGTCGTTTTTTACCATCAGTGTTACTGACTCGTGAAATATCCAACGACTCGGACGGGCTTCAGGTTGAGATCAACAAGCAACATGAACAGCGGAATGCACTGCTTGTTTAATCTGGTTTCATTGTTCATCTGCATTCGCACGCTGCAGTGCGCTTAGCTCAGGCCCTAGCTTTGATGCATAGCGGGCATGAACGGCTGGATCAGACAAACGACGATGGGCTAACTGAGTTTGATGGTTTCGCCGGCTACCACTGAATCGAAGCGCAAAGTACATCATAACTAGTGCAGCCTTCCGTTGCTGGCGTCCTTCACCCTCCTTTCGTTCCCACCAATGGTTCTTGAAAGCACGTAACAACTGCACAACCATCATACACAAGGCTAGGGAACGTTTTGTTGAGCGCGAAGCAGCACAGTTATCAACCACTCCCTCTAGAAGCCGGACATTCTGATCACTTGATAAGGCAGTCTCCCGTAACTTCTATTCCACTAACTTCTCACCCACCGTTAAATCATCTGGCGACTTAGTATCCAACCCGCTTGAAAAAGTCGAAGTGTTAACCTGCAATTCCGCCCTACTGGAATAATTCACCCAAGGGTGGAGATCCGATCGATGCATCCACGACCGGGGCAAAACCCAACCCGCTCCTCACGCACAGTGTGGCAGTGATCATCGGCTTGATTGGGTATCGAGGTGTATTCGGTACTTTAGGCGTCTGATTTCGTCCGGAGGGTATACGATGCGATGAACTAGACACTGCCCTCCAATGGGTCGTGTTTTTCACACACCGCTGCCTTGCGAGTAAGGCTTTGGTTAGCCGAAGGCTCCGGATGTAAATTCCGCAAGAAAATTCACCTGCTTTGGCCTGGGTAAACTAGCAGTATCGCGCCCTCGAGAAAACTACTGAAATTCTCATTTTCCCAAAGATTACTAAACCTGAATTGTTTGGCAGAGTCTGAACTCAGACGTGTGCCGTCGGGGATTCAATGGATAAATGAGGCTTCAGCTTTACTATGGAGTAGAATGCACGTCAACCGATTAAATTAAATGGAAGCTCTCGGCGCCATAAAAACGATCTTTCGCATTCGTTATTCACAACTCAAGTAATCTGAACAAGAATAGTTTTTGTGAGATGTAATCCCTAATATTTATTAACAAGTGAAATGCAAGAACAGCAAATGGGGAGCCAAACTTCGCAACCCTACCTTCAGTTAGGGAATGTTGGTTGGTTCGAGTGTGCGGAATGTCAATCAGAAAACTTCCGGAGATGCCTACACACAAAGAGACGTTTAAGCAGAAATCTTTCTTGGTCGTACCTTTCATTGACTCAATGTTGAGAATACTTGGACTAGTTTTGGATGGATCTGAATTCATCACCTCGGGGAGCTGCTCTATTTGTGGGCTTGCCGGAAGGGTGTCGGTGGATTGTTCCAGAGCGGGTAGAGCCACGGGGATTAAGTTCGGGTTGGTGACCAAATACGTGCGTTGCTTAGTTTTCTGACTGATGGTTGAATGGGCCACTGGGACCGGTGTACCCAGTACTGTCTCATCAATAACAGCTTCAGTAGGGCTTGCCATCCGGTACAAAGCAGGGGAAATATGCGCCATGGCTACAAGGAAATAACATATGGTGTTCCATATCATAACGAAAAATCGTGGATCATTTCCCGAGTAATGAGCCAATCCTAAACAGGATAGAATTTGAACACAAATATCAATCACTTAGGGGGACCAGTTGATTCCAGGGTAGTAATAAAATCATATGTTCGAAAACAATCAGCAACCTCAGATCTAGAGGAAAAAATCACATTCTTCAGGGGAACACCTTACAAAGGATGACGATTTTTCTTATTATACACCTCTAAAAGCCTCAGTATGATCGGGGATGGGTTTTTCGCTTTATGGTTGGTCACTGTTGCACCTCGCGCGATGTTCCCATAAGACCAAGCGTCTCAAATTCCAAAGAAGACACTGACTGCCTTCCCATGGCGGAGATGTCTTCCCACCAAAGTAAGAGGACGAAAAGCCAACANAGCCAACATAAGGGGCTATAGTTCCAGTTCTTACAAATGTCAAACTTGCACCTTTGTGCGGCGGTTATTGCTGTTATCATTTAGCTGCCAATTAGGATAAACGGGAACAGGGGAGATTGGAATGTTGAGAGCAGAGTCCAAGAGAAGATAGAGAACCCATACACACTGGAGTTGCAAGAATAACTAGTAGGGGCACGAGCGACACTGTTTGCGACAGCCATATCACCCACCGTCTCTAACCACCAGTTACTATGATCTCGGAGGTCCTGTNTTTTTCATACCCTCATGCCAGGTCTTAGTTTGGTTGCCCTTGACCTTTTTCCATCCGCTGCCTGCCTCAGTAAACATCGTGACGACCTGTTTGGTGACATGCGGAACGTGTCCGAAACACCGTAGTCGATGGAGGGTGACCTCTTGTTCCGGTGGATGACCGCGGTTACCTAAACCTCTGCGTCTAATCTCAACATTGCTTGTCTAGTTTCCCCACCAGACTCGTCTAATATATATATATATTATATATATATATATATATATGCGACATACAAGTTCGAACACTATTTATTTTTATCCTGTTCCCGTAATGGCCAAGTCTCTACACCATTGAGCAGAACTGGTTCAAGTGCTGCAGCACATACTCGACCCTTCACAGACAGCCGGATATCGTAACGATGCCACAGATGTCTTAAGTTGGCAAATGCGTTCTGTATATGTCCATATTTAAGCTGTGAGACAGCTGCCAAAATAACAAAGGTTGTCTACTTCCTCAACTGTTTCCCCAGTCAAAGTGAGGTTGGGGGACAGGGTCAGCCGATTCTTGTAGCGACAGTTTACACTTTGAAGGTGCAAAACGCATACCGAACATGGCTGCACTAGCAATCGCACTATACAGAAAAGCTTACAATTTACCTGGATTTTCACAGCACAATGCCATCTGCACACTTCAGGTCCGACGGTCTGTTACTCGAGAGTAAATCAATGCCGCTATCCTCAGATGAGGATAGGGATGTTTCAAGAATTAAATCTATGACAAAGTTAAATCATAAGGAAGATAGAGGGAAACCCTGACGAATACCACTTCCTGTAGTGAACTACGGCGAAAAGGTGCCGCAAGCCCTCACCTTTGGTTATTAGTATAAAGGGATTTTAATATTGAAATATGGTTCTCGGATATCATCATCATCGTTACGGTACAGCGAAATAAAGCGAAGCGAACTTCACTGACCGCGGCTAAACTCGCAATGCATACAAGGTTAGTGGTAAAATTTAAGGTGGATAGGGATTGGACCTAATGTGAGGGAGGGAAAGGAAGGTGAACCTCTATGGTCAACACAGAATGCAAAATCGAACTCTGCATACATACCGTTTCGAACATTCTGACTCGATAAGAAATGACACCAAGAACGCCACCGCGGTCGGTTCGCTGCCATATCCTTTAGTGTCTCCAACTATCCAGTTACAGAGTTTTTGGGACCCCAACCTGGACGACGGGAGACACCTATTCTACCTAATCGCTCTGTGCATTTCTTCATGCCTCGTCTCCACGTCATCTGTTGACCTTTGTGTGGTTTCCTCCAGCCCGGATTAGCTACAGCGAATAAAGCGCAGTGCGGCAAACGATGGCTGGGCATACGCAATACGTGCCCTAGCCAGCGAAGTTTACTAATCTGAATTCGGTGTGCTAGCAGATTTATACCTGATGGACTCCCAAACACACGACGGCTTACCTCGACATTACTAATCTGTTCGCTCCGTCCAACGTGAGCTAAACTGCGTAAACGCCGATAATCGAAAACCTCTAGTCGATGGATACATTCTACTCGCAGATTCAAGGTCTCACAACCATAAAGCAGAACTGAACGAACGCTAGCACAATATACACGACCTTTCAACTTCAGTGAAACGTCGCGTCTACATCAAAGGTGTTTCACTCCTGCATATGGTGCTAGAGCCTTGAAAATGCGAGTGGTTATTTTCTTTGCCGAGCAACCGTCTTTGGTCACGCACCTACCTAAGTAGGAAAAGTAATCCTCCGTAACTAATTCCCGGCCATTTAGTTTCAGAGTGGAAATAGGCGAAACCCAGTCCGGCAGCATCACTTTGCACCTTGAAGGTGCAAAGCTAATATCGAATGTGGCAACTGCACTTGTTAGTTTATCAAGTGTGTTTTGCGCGTCCTCCATACATTCGAACAAGCAAACGTCATCGGCGTACTCTAGATCACTCAGCCTTTCTCTCTGCCTATGCAATACCTGCGTTTTGAAGATCACTAGTATTTCGTCTACGACGAAAGTGAACAGGAACGGCGAGAGAAGGCACCCTTGACGAACCAGAGACAAGTGAGTACAGTGACCTCAGTAAGTTAACGTACTTCTAGGGCATTCCTTTTTGAAGAAGGAAGTCCATCAGAGCTTCGCGGTCAACTGAACGCTCCTTTCAGGCCAAGGACACCCTTCAGCGAGAGGCAGCGCCAGATTCAAGAGTGGTCGACTGAATCGAAGGCCGCTTTCAGATCGATGATGAAAGAAATAGTGGGTCTATGAAGTGTCTGTTCCAAAATTTGCCGACGGGTCGAAATGTGGTCAACAAAACCTCGACCAGGTCTAAACCCAGCCTGATTCTCACGTGTGCACCGTTTATGTGCTGCAGACAGTCGACGGAGTACGATGCCAGCGAGAAGTTTAGACGTAATGTTGAGTAAACTAATTCCTCCGTGGTTTTTACAAGAGGATTTGTCACCTTTATTATAGATTGGTAAGATGCCGATTCATACCACTCCGTTCGAAATTGTTGCATCTCCCATACTGAGTCCGGTGAAGATCCGTCCTTAAAAGCCTATGGGAACAGCAAATCTGGGTCTGAGGACTTAAGCCTTTTGAGATCGCGTCGGCACCACAAGTGACGTAGGTTAGCAAAGGCCACTTGAGCCGTGTGGATACGCGCTGATATTTCTTCCGCAAGTCCTCTTGAGCTGAAGCAACTCCCGAGATAAGTAAAGTGATCGACGATTTCCAACTGGTTGTTCATAAGCATGAGGACAGGTGTAGCCTCTTGCCAGTCTTGTAGTAACACCTTACATTTCGATGGAGAAAATGTCATACCAAACTGCGTGACGGACAAAGCTAACTTACACAGGACGTTTTGAGCGTCCTGGGAGGAGTCGCAGAGTAAAACGATGTCGTCAGCATATTCCAAGTCACGGAGTCGATCACCTTGGAGAAGCTCCACCCCAGAAGCGCTGCAGTTTTCTAGAGCGCTGCTTAGGATTTTGTCTATTACGAAATTAAAGAGGAAGGGCGAAGCTGGGCACCTTTGTCGAACTCCGCTTGTGATGGTAAATCACGGGCAGATGCGATCATAGACCTTGACGCGGCTTGTTTGAGTAGACGGCTTTTGGAAGGTTTATATACTTCTCAGGCACACCGCTCCCTAACAGACAAGTCCAAAGAGCTGCTCTGTCAACTGAGTCAAACGCAGCACGCATGTCCAAAAACACATTGATGGTCGGTCTACTGAACGTTTGACGTTGCTCGAGGATCTGACGTAGCGTAAATATGTGATCAACACAGCTCCGACCAGGACGGAATCCAGCTTGTTCTTCGCGAATTTGACGCTCTCTTGTCCAACTGAGCCTGCGAAGGATCAACGACGTTAACAGCTCAGATGCAACTGATCCCTCGGCGATTGGAGCAATCGTGGTGGGGGCCCTTCTTAAAAACAGATACGACGTCCGCCAAACTCCATTCGGATGGAATGGATTCAGTATTCCAGATGGTTTGGAATAAGAAAGTTAGTTCGCGAACAAAGCTTGCAACACCGTCTTTGAAGAGGGCCGGAGGGAGTTCATCTAGACCGGGCGATTTGTGGCGTTTCAGAAGTCTGAGCTCTCGAGAGACTTCTTCCTCCGTAGGCGATGAAATTTCCACAGACCACGGAGCACTACAGACATCGGGAGATGGAGGCGATGACGTCGATGGCCAGCTGAATTGTTGATGAAAGTGCTCCGCCCAGCGCCCAAGCCGACGTTATAGATTGTAGATACATTCGCCATTAGTTTCGCATAGGGTTTCACTGACACACGGCATTTTGTTACCGGTGGCTCGGATTAGTCGAAAAAGTTTGTGAGCATTACTGGAAGCAGAGGCTAGTTCCATCTCGGAAGCATGTTGTGCCCACCAGACCTCTGGATTTTCTTTTAAGAACCGTTTTCAGTTCAGCACGGAGAGTCCTTTGAACTGTGTTGTATTCATTGCCTGGAGAGATACTTCGACGAGTGTCGAGGAGTTGGAGAGAACGTGCCGAAACCCAGTGATTGACTGTGCGTTTGGTGAAGCCACATGCTGTGGTGGCGGACTTATACATGGCGTTACGGATGCGAGTCCATTGGTTGTCAACGTTCGAGGCTGATAGACCGTCTAGATCAGCAGCTAACGTGTTTTGGTAGGTGGTAACTACGTCCGGATTGGTCAGTTTCATCAAATCGAGTCTTCCGCCAAAGCGCAGAGAATTTCGCGCACACGAGTGCATGATCAGAGCTGTTATATGTGC